CCTCCCCCATACCGTCTAGCAATGGAAAATCCCAGGCAAACTCAACAGTGATGAGTAAGGCTTTAAAGAGAAAGATGCAGAGGAGTGTTTGCATTAGTGTTTCTGTAACTAAGAAAAATGAAGAGGAACTGCAGCATTGTAATTCAAATACACTCATATCTCAGAGACGCTTCTGCTTTTCCTCATAGCGCGACTGTTATTTCAGATCACCAAACCCTCTTGGGAAGTAAAATGTGTGTGTGTGTGTTTCTCTGGTTGAATATATAAGAGAAAATAATGGAAGGTGAGCATCAGGCAAAACTACCACTCATGCTCCTCAGGGATGAATAGCATTACCATGACCAAATCTGAGCACATCCATCTTATATCCTGTTTCCATGGAAATCTTTTTGAGAAATTTGAGATCAATGTGGAATAATCCTTATGGCCAGGTTTTTATTTCACAATCACAAATCTTTTGTGTTGACCGTGACTGTGTTGTTGGTGTTTTTCAGTCTTAAATGTTGAAATTTATTGTGACCAAGCTAATATCCAATAGATGAGAATGGCTGGATTGCACCCTACATTCATGTTTCTTACAGACAGCACTCAAGCAAACTGTATGTGTCTTTGAAAAAAAAAAAATATCTTCATTATCAAGACATGAATTATGATAAATTGAATTAGGGACAGTAAGTTAACAGAGTCAATCTCAGTTACATTACTAAGATCATTTCACCTGATCTGATCCTTGACTAGGCATGGGACAATAACCGGTTTCAAGGTTTACCACAATTTGGAAAAGTCAAGGTATTTAACAGCAAAAAAAAGAAGAAATTATAAACCGTTCCTAAGGTATATGTAAAGTTTTTTTTTTTCGTATTGTACAGTGTTTTTGAAACTAATTAAGATAGCAGATTTATTTGAATTATTTAGCCTGACATGTTTACTGTTCCAAAATATAAATGTTTCCTAAATTGAAATATATTGTGCTCAATGGGGGAAAAGTAGTTGTTTTGTACCCTGACATTTAAAAAGAGCATATTTTAGAGCTGTAATCACAGTACTGGGAAACCATGAAACCATGATGTTTTTATCCAAGGTTATCATACCGTCAGAAACTTATTCCGAACCACGCCTACCGTTGACTACCACTTTTGCTAATGTAATCTAATGTTGTCAGTTACACAGATGCAGTTTTATTAAATAACACTATGTAATGGACTGTTCACTCAAATAGAATTTTTCTCCACAATTTATTCTGCCTCATTTTGTTTCATATCTAAGTTTTTTTTCTTTTTCTTTTTTCAAACAATTCAACTAAATAGAATAAAAACACTGTTTGGTAATAAATAATTGTTGTCTTCTTTTATGTTGTGCAGGGGATTAAATAGACCACTTGTTGTTGTGTGCAATATCCCATTCATTTTAAATATGATTTATGCTGCAACATTAAGCATGCTTCACATTAGCATTAGGATAATAAAAATATATTCACATTAATCATGCACCAATATTTAAAATCTGTTATAAATAGATACAAAAAAAAATAGTCATTTTTTATTACAAAATAGCAAAAATCTTTTCAAATAAACTATACCTATAATATACCTACAATATTTATTAATTTTTCCTTCGGCTCAGTCTCCATTTCAGAGGTCACCACAGCCAAACGAACCACCAACTTTTCTACCATATGTTTTACGTTGTGCCTATCCAGCCAAAACCCAGTACAGGGAATCACCCATACACACTCAAAACTGATTTATACTTCTGCGTCAAGCACCGTCACATTGAAATGTAGCACAAGCTCTGTGATTGGTCATCTTGCTAGCTGTGACAAGTGTGGGCGGTGCTGAGAGCCTTGAGCCTGATCGAGCGAGTGTTTACAAGTGTCGAGTCCCGTGAAGGAGTTCCAGATGGAAACTTTTGTTTTGTGTTTATCTTATGATTAAAGTTGTTGCGCATCCGCAGGTTCCAGCAACTGAATGAGCGAGCTTTAGGTACTTGTACATTACGGTTGTGTTCAGAAAAAAATAAAACACCCATGAAGAAACTCGATACAGAGAAACAGAACAGGAAGAGCAACCAAACAGCACTCAGAAGTATAAATGCACGGCTACGTGCAAAAGCATGCGGCGTTGGTCATGGCAATCACTTGACGCAGAAGTATTATTCAACCTTACGAACAATTTAGTTTTCCCATTTCACTTATAGTGCATGTCTTTGGACTGTGGGGGAAACCGGAGCACCCAGAGGAAACCCACGCAAACTTAGGGAGAACATGCAAACTCCACACAGAAACGCCAACTGGTCAAACCAGGACTTGAACCAGCAACCTTTTTGCTGTACTTAAGACAATATGGACAATATTTTCTTAAAATATAAAATAATAATAAAATAACCACAGTTAAAAGATGTATTTAGGCAGCAGTTTGAAAATGGATTTTCATAACTTTAAATAAGCGCTACATTATATATTGTGTTATTTTATTGTAACTGTCTTTGAAGTGTGTATCTGTGTAACAACTGCCAAGTCTAAGAAGTCATGGGGTCACAATGCAAAGTAAAAATATTAATAATAATCACCTGGAACTTCCATATTCTCAAATTAGCTGCACGATAAAACAACAAGGCTTTTGAAGATATATAAGAGGAAGTGAGTGTGGAAGTATACTTGACCCAAACAACTGTCATAACTGTCTGCATAGCATATCTCTCAATTCTACCAACAAGATGAACTGTAAATGAACCAAACAAATGATCTGTCCAAACTTGTCTGGCAGAGACCAAAGGCAGTGTGAGATCTTATAATTACAGAGGGGAGGTAAACAAACACACAGATCAACACAGAAGACATGAAGAGAGAGTGATGACTGAATTCTGCTGAGAGCATCAGTATGTCCTGAAGCTTTACTGTGATGATGTTGCAGTGTTTGGACTTGCTGCCTGTCACTGAATCCCCGAAGTCTCTGCAGGAGAAAGCCAGCTGCTCTGTTCGGCAACATGGCTCACCGGATAAGATGACTAGCAGCTGCGCTAGACAATCCAGACAAGGTCAGCCATAAAAAGGGACAAATCAAACGTGTCTACTGTGCCAGACACCAGACAAATCTCAGAGTGTACACTTTAAAATTAGGCATACACTGGGTAAAAAAAATGCTATGGAATGATTTAACATCACCTGACGTCCACGGTTTCTTCATGCTGCCTGAACTTATGCTGATGCTTGCAGTTCATGCTCAAGGAAAAGATGCTTACACATTCACAAGAGCTGACGGCTGTTTCTCTGATGGACCAACACTAGATCAACAGCTCAATTTATAATGCAAGTGCAGATAAGGGCTGCTTGCACATTGATCTTTGGCATGATGCATCTGTTGACAGGTTTAAGTGGTGAAAGTAAAAGGAGTGAAGAGGGGGACTTTTAGAAGGAAATAACCACAGTTGCACACAGTAACTGAGAGGCAGTCTAATGAAGTCCCGGAGCACTAGTGCTTGTGGGAGATTGCAAATTTCCCCCTGTAGTTCCCATAAACATGTGGATGTCGGCATAACTGAGAGCAGATCTTGACGACTGGCAAAAGCACTATGCAAACTGAAGGAGTCTCTTTCTGTAACTCAGCCATGTTTGCTTTTCTGGCTAAGATGTTAATCAAATAAAGCGTGTTTATCAGCCACTTAGTTTATAAATATTTATCTGTCTTAGCTTGTCAGTTGGCTAACACAGACCAGGATCCAATACCTGATCCTAAAGAAACAACCTTTAACCTCCTCAAGAACACATCTAGGTGAGATATGGGATGGAGTGTCAACATTCTACATCAGCAGGTGGAAAGCAAAACATGCAGGCTCACGCAGCTCCGATACAAATCACACACACTCTCTGACCTTTCCTCCTGCCCCTTCAAAAACACACAGAAACGCACTCACATGATCAGATTGTGTCAATCATAAGGATTCGAGATAAAAGACTGAACAAATAAAAGTCTCAAGAAACTATTTGGATCAATCTGGATTAGAGCTTGTTTGTGTGAACCCTCTCAGTGGTTTTACTCAACATGGGTCACTCGAATCAATCAGAATTTTAGAAGTTCATTTATCATTCAGCAATTCAATCTCATGAATAGACTAAGATGGTTTCAGACTTTGAGGAGGTCTGACACAGGACTGTGTAAAAGTGTAAAGTGAATTGCTGAAATAAGTGCTTCACTATGAAGGATAGCTTTATTTCATCTGATATTTATAAATGTCTACTTTATTTCTAATTTGTAATGGAACAGTAGGGTTAAAGATAGATAAAAAATTTTTTTTGTGTGATCAGATGATAAGAAATGCACTGAAAAAAGGATTTAAAAATGATTTCTTGGATTTACAAAAAAAAATGTAAGTTATGAGGTTGGGTTGATTTATTTGGGTTGAATTTAAACAAACAAATTAAATTGAACATTACTAAATTTATTTTGTTTGTTTAAATTAAATCCATATTGCAACAAGTGATATATATATATATATATATATATATATATATATATATATATATATATATATATATATATATATACATACATACATATATACATATATATATATATATATATATATATATATATATATATAATTATAAAGAGATAGTAAAAAGAGTAACAGTTTTGTTGTCATTGCAAGATTCAGTGAAATGGCTTGCACTAATTTGCTCTTCTAAACTGAAACTTGTGATGTGAAGCGCTATCTGAGAGAAGATCTACAGTAGCACTGAAAGTTCAGAAGCAAGGGAAGAACCTTTCAATAACCTATGTGCAGTTTCTAGTCGAATAATAACACATTGTAACACAATAACCACTGACACCACAAATCAACATAATCACTTCAATAGTTGCGTTTTAAATGCAACACGTGTTGAAGCACTTCCAGCATAGTTCCATCTTTACTGGTCAATAACCCACCAGTAGACCAAATTAATAATCTAGTTTGTGATTATCATGAACTTGAGAGCCTATGCTGACAGCTGTCAAACTCACCAGCTCGTCCAGATTGCGCATATCCAGCAGAACTCGCTTCTGCTGCTCCCGCCAGCGGGCCAACAGCTCCGGGTCGGGCTCACCGATGCTCTGCTTGCGAGTGTACGTCCTTTTCGGCGGGCTCTCGGACTCCCCGGTCTCCCCCATGACCTCCGTAAGGTTCTCCTGGTCTCGGATCTCCTCCTCGATCTCCTCCTCCAGTTGAATCAACATGGGGGCCAGCATGCCGAATTTGGCCCCGCGGCGAGCCACTTCCAGCAGGCACAGCACGAAGTTCTTCTCGTTGCACCTCTCCACCAGGTCGTTGGTCTCAAACATGAGCACATCCTTGATCCAGAGCTCCTGTCTGCACCAGCCGATGAAATTAGACACGTTGTCTCTGGCCAAAAACGACCCGGGAATGACATTCCTCGACTGGAAGACCACGTCCTTGCTGGGTATCCGCAAAGAGAGCGCCGCATCTGGACAGTTCGCCTTGAATTCGTGCGCGGCGCGGTTCACGTTGTTGGCATGCCGACAGAGCGCGCAGCCGGTCTCCAGACCCTCCATAAAAGTGTCCGCCGTGATGTCCAGATCGTACAACGTGTTCAGCCATTCAGCCAGATCCTCCTTCATGGCATACAGGTACTCCTCGCTGGATTTAAACGGCCTGATGCTTTTGGAGGCGGCGGACTGAATGTTGCTCTGATCGGCCATATTATGGGAAAACGTGAATCAATCAAGGCACGAAATGACGCACGCCTGTCTCCTACAGTAATCCTCCATAAACAGCGCTGGGAATGGCATAACGACGCGCGGCAGGAGCTCCTAGAGCGGGCCGCTGTGACTCTCGGCCCCGCTGTACAGCTGTGGGATTCCGCGATGGATTCCGGATGTCTGAGAGATACCCGCCTCCTTCGATGAGCACATAGCGATTACTCATTCCCCTGTGGAAGTCCAGACCGAAACAGAAACATGACAATTATCATCCGTACCTGACAGCTCGACGGCTCACTATCCCAGTCGACGCTCTCTCGCGTGTGAGGAGCGTCCGCATTGGCTAACCGCGCTCCGCAACGCCTCGTTTGTTCATTCGTTTACACCGGGAGGACGCATGGCTGATGGAGACAGGAAGACATCCCGGTCTACTGGGACACTTTAATAATAATCTTCGTCCGTTGGAAATGATATGACCGTCCCATGCGCCGCCTCCTGCACACGCGCTGAGCTGCTGCAGTGGCTTATACATCGAGTTACATCTCATTAGAGGATCAACGGCAACTTTATCCTAGCGCATCCCATTTATTTCAATTGCAGAAGCCGCCAGCAACGGCCAAAGCGTTTACATTTGCATACGACATTCAGTTGATACTAACGATCATTTGTAGTCAAATACAGTTTGTGTTTTGATGACAGCGCAAGTCGAGCAAAAATAGTAACGTGGACGTTGCCTTTGACTTATCATTTATCTATGATTTGCATGTGAGTTGATGGGGACAGGAGGTATTCAGTGATAATATCATGCTTGCAAAGTCGATGAGGTTTAATCTGCGCGAATATTTGATCATGTATTAGCCTGTTTGCACGCGTTCCTTGTCTGTTCAAATCAGTCCACGTGCTTGATTATGAGCAAGCAGAGGCAAACTATCTGATGTGTTAATTACTCTTATGTCTTCATGTTTTGAATTTTGGAAGGGCCATAAGCATAATGTGCAGCTAATGCAAAAAAAAACGCTATGGTAATATTTCCAGATTTTTACACTACTCATGAAATAAATAAATAATTAATACAATATATCAAGTAATAGGCTATATGGAATTGTGTATAAGTATAGATTATATTAACTTGGTTCAAAGTTTCTAGTAAAAAAGTTAGTCCAACAAGAAAGCAAATTGTTCTAGCAACAAGACAAACAATACGACAATTAATATTACCAAATAACTTCAGAAAATTCTGATTACCGTTCATGTTTCTTATTTCTGTGGACTAGTTAATAAACATAGGATTAGCTTCATTGACATCCAACGTAGCGCACTAACAAAGGCAACCTGTAGGCTGCTTTACTCCGTCGACCAGTGCCTTCGTGTTGTTTTAAACTTCTAGTCAATGCTCGAAGGCTTTCCAAATACTCCAATACTCAATTTTTTAAAGAACACAATTTTAATAGTAGCCGTAGTTACGGGTTAATTACATAACATTACCACAAAACACGTTTCTGACTGAATGAAAATAAAGAGGCCGCGGAGTGATCTGAGGCAGCAATCTAGTACCGGTATGTTGACAGTAAAATGGCGCGATTTACTAATGAAGACTACGAAATTGTTACATTTTGAGGCTGTCAAACAATGTAAAATAGTAACAAATGATTTACCCTTTCTTTACATTTTCATAGGATCCCGATAACATCACAGAAAACTAACCAAAAAAGTGAGTTCACTGAAAAATAAAAACTTGTACTATTTTTACTTTAATAAAATCATTTAAGTTACTCGCCCAAGTGATTCCCAAAAATAGAAAGAGTTTGGAAAAAGTGTGGATGACTAAATGATGACAGTTTTAATTTTAGGTAAACTATCTTGAGTAGGCTACTCAACATATTAAGTTTTAAACTAACTTATGTTGTGGGGAGGCTTTTTTTTGTAACAAGAGCAATGGTTATGTTGCCCAAGGATATAGCAGGGGGGTGGGGGGTCCCCCTCACTTTTAGAGTCAGACCATGAAACAGGTGATTAATAATTATGAGCTAAACTGTTGGATCTCATTCAGCTGTCCCCTTCACTTTTACAACGTCCACTACGCCCCTGATGTTGCCAGTAGTAAAATGGCGCAACTGACTATTCACAAATTAGGCACCTGTGAGCACATAAATACTGTAACAGCAATCTTGCTCTACTCATGTGAACAGTTTGAGCTTAAAATAATCACATTTCTATGTATGAAGAACACTTTTAAAGAGATGGTCACTATATCTACTCCATTACTAAGAAACACCAGTCCTTCTTTGATCCAAATCCCCAAAAACTCTAATTGCCAGTTTTTAATCAGGATTGTCATATTAAATTAATGAGGCTATCCAACAATCTCTGTTCCTGTTTAGTCTCTAAACTTTCAATCCAGGGCAGGCTCACTCACTCTACTTTGCCAACGGTCTTGGTCATCAGCAAATGAAAGAGGCCATTCTGAACAGACAAAGGAAAGACATGAAGACATCATCATGATGTTAATCACCGTTCATTCGTCTCCTTGAAACAATCGATTCCATGTCTGTAGAACAAGTAAAGGCCTGTCTTTAGAAACCCAACTCTTAACAACCTCGTCACTTAAGGCCACATGCCGTGAAAAATGCAATGGCCAAATAAAGTTGAGGAACAGCTCTTGAAATGGATAAATATAATCCACCTTTTAATGTATTGTAATGTTAATGCAAGTGGATCAGCAATGATCCTCATGAGGAAGACTCAAGAATCCAGCTTCCCTCCCCAGAGTCAACCTATTTAAAGAGTCACTTCTGCTCTATGACACCAAAGAGGCCAACTGCAGATTTAAAACACTCCCACATTGCTCTAAAAATAAGTGCTTTTGTGCACTGTTTAGCCTTTTTATATTCATGATCCTATAACACAATTGGCATTTGAGACCACAAATGGAAATGCTATTCTCTTCTTATTCATTTGACTTCCTGCTCTTTTGCTTAATGCCAGTCAGTGTGTTCTTTAACTCGACTTGGACTGCTGCAGTTTGAGGGATTAATCCAACAGCAGCCGTGCAGCCAAAGGGAGGCCCTTGTTTTCATTTGAAAAGCGCCGGTTGTTTCTTTAAGAGAGCTAGACAGAGGGGAGGACGCACAGCAAGCAAAGGAATGAGATCACTCTTCAGGGCCCGGATGAATCAGCTTTTCTGTGAACACATGCACAAAACCCAAGTCATTCTACAGCTCTCCAACAAGTGAGCATTTGGCCTTAAAAAAAAAAAAAGGCGTCAGTCTGACACATGGAAGTGAAAGAGCATTCTTTGATGTTTGGAAAGGAAATAATTGAGTTTCCTTTGCTTAATTCAATTTCTGACTGTAATTAAATTTAGATAGGAACATAAGGTCTTTGTGAGAAGTCCCTAAAGCTGGTATAAGCATCATCCTGTCAGCTCCTGCCAACACATCAATTAACAAGAGCAAGGCTTCAATAAGCTTGTGGAGAACACATGCTTTACAGATGAAGTAAAGCTTTGAGAATGGTTAAAAGCTTTATTGAAAACCTGTTTCAACTTGTGGGCAGCATGATGGCGCAGTGTGTAGCACAATCGCCTCACAGCAAGAAGGTTCAAGCCCTGTGTTGGCATTTCTGTATGGAGTGTGCATGTTCTCCCAAGGTTGCGTGGGTTTCCTAAGGGTACTCCAGTTTCCCCCCACAGTCCAAAGACATGTGGTACAGGTGAACTGAAAAAGCTTAATTGGTTGTAGTGCGAGTGTGTGGGTGTTTTCCAGTCATGGCCATCCGCTGTGTAAAACATATGCTGGATAAGTTGGCAGTTCATTCTGCTGTGGTGACGCCTGATTAAATAAAAGAGACTAAGCTAAAAAGAAAATGAAAGAATATTTCAACTTGCTTTATGGAACAGTTCAAGAGTGTAGCAGATTTGCAAAATATAAATGCCAAAAATCTTTAACGATTGCAATATGAGAACACCGGACACTTCTTGAAATAAGGCTTTTTATAATTTTATTGAAAAAAAGGCTAAAATCATATTATGTAGATCCAAATAAACCCACACAATGTTCATCAGAAGGCCCTAATAGAGGCTTAGTCATGCTCTGAAAAAAGCTGGCATCATTTTATACAACACTCAGCAGATAAAGCTGTTCTCATACACGTGACAGATGAAAACATTCCGTGTACCTTAAACAACTGAGACATCTAATGGTTCAAGTCTGAATTGCAGTCATTACAGTGCATGCCATTAGGTTACTCCATGAAGAATACTCCATTGTAATAAAACCATGAACTTTTATAAAAAGTTTAATATTTGCTAACTTCAATACACAAAAATGACAAAAATGCAAAAAAACTGGAGGTGGAAAAGTTTATTTAAAAAAAAATTTGTTTAAAGTACATACAGCTACAGAGACATGTAAGACGTACATCCCCAAAAATAATGACTACAGGGCAACTGAGTATTTTTAATATAAAAGAAATCAATTACAACATACAAAAACGCAACAAGAGTTTAACTAAAACCAGTGGTACTGAAATAAAAAAAAAACTAAAAGCAAGCAAAAGAGATAACCATGTATAAATATGGAATCATAAATAAAAAGGACTTTTAAAATTTTTTCCTCTATGTAAATTTCCTTTTGCTTGATGCGTGAACTTAGTAGGGTCTTTCCCTGCGCTCCTGACGATGATCCCTGTTGAGAGAGCAAAAGAAACGATCTCTATATGCACCCCAAGCACTAAAGCACTTTGCATTTTGTTAACATTTGCAACATGTGATGCTCACCTCATTTCCATCTTGCCTGGGGGTCCCATGCCTCTTCTGCCTCTGTCCATGGGAGGACCACCCCTGCTACCTCCTCTGAATCCGCCCCTATCCATCCCACCACGGCCTCTGAAGCCTCCGCGATCTCCTCCCCAGCCTCCACGCATTCCTCCCGGCCCACCACGGTCCATGCCCCTGCCGCCCCTCATGCCACCCCTGCCACGTTCACCTCCTTAAACACAGTTTAAACCACAAACTCAGACACAAGTAGAGATTACTAATCACAGCTAACAGATTTTGAATCAGAAAGTACCTGGAGAAAAGGGAGGAGAAGTTCCAAGGCCTTCGGGTTTTGGAGCTTTACACTGGTTACACTCCATTCTCCAGGAGAAGTTCTGATTTCCACAACCACTAAAAAAAAAAAAAAAAATTAATTTAGATTTATGCATATTTACCAGCCAAAACAATTCATCTAGTACGATGGATCTCTCACGCGTTAGGACATTCCCAGTCTCCAGCTCTTTTCTGCACATTTCCTGGTTGAGGGCCGCCGTTCCAGCCCATTCCACCTCGAGGGCCACCACGCGGGGGAAAGCCGCCTCTCTCGCCTCCTCTGCCCATCATTCCTGCATTGCACAAAGTCATTAATAAACAAACACCTTCTGGTTGAACGTCACTTGATGCCTTGGGGGTTTATCATACCTCCACGATCCATTCCAGGGCCACCTCGCATTGGCATTCCTCCTCTCATTCCCCCAATCATGGGCTTCCGGCGGGCCATAGAGACCTTTAATCTCCTGCCCTGAAACTCCTTTCCTTTTTTTTGAAATGTAAAGTACAGATGATAAATTCAAGTAGCAGAATAAAAAATCCAAAGTTATGGCAATATAATAAAAGCAGCAAACAAACCATCAAAATGTTCAACTGCAGCTTTGGCAAATGCAGGTTCCTCATAGGACAGTGTGGCATCCCCCTTTGGCTTGCCGCTGTCTTTATCTGTATAGATGTTGATGGCTGGTTGATTTAAACGCCGATTTATCTGCAAGAGAGATACCAAAGTCATCATTAAAACAGTCCAACCAGTTATTTAGAATTAACCACCTAGATTCATATTTTCTCACCCGAATTGCTCCAGTGTGCTTGAAAAACTCAGCCATCTCTGGTAGAGTGGCATTCTCAGTGAGACCTGTGATATAGATGGTGCTGTTCTCAGAGTCCTGCTCTCCTGGATGGCCTGTGTGTTTAAGAAAAAGATTTAGCTACAATTCTACATTTGCTGTAAATCAGGGTAACTGAAATGCTGCAGAATATTAGAGAACATCCTTATTGAAAATGATCCATATTGAAATTGGCTTTTTAATTTCTCAACATTACTGTATAGAACAGCATTTGAATTATCACAATAAGGCTTTCCCATCTCTTTATTAGTTCAATGAATTTTAATAGTCTAAACAGTGTGCATGAAAACAAGTGAAAACGTACCCATATCACGATCCATTCCACCCCTCATAGGTCCTGGGTTTCAGCAAAAATCAAAGAAAAACAAGAAATCCTATTAGTAAATGATATCATGACTTACAAAAAAAAACCTGACAACCTGCCAATAAAAAAAACTGAGCAGAATTAAATGCATTGAAAAAATGTGACCATTTTCAGGATTACCCTGGACCACAATTGATTCTCAGAATAAAATGGAAATGTCAAATGTAGAATTAAAAAAGACGCTTTGTCAAAGGACACGTCAACTTTTGAAGAAATCCAAATATATACACACCAAATATAAACCACCAGAACACACTGTTGTAGTTTTTTTTTTTTAAAGTGGCAAAAGTGGCACACCAAATGAAAGGTTTTAAGGACACATAGGCGTGAATAGCCTCTATATCAAAAGTCGAGTGGACTAACCAATGGATAACGCTTTAGAAACTTACCACCAGGCTTATTGAAGCCCCCTCTGTCTCCAGCGATGCTAAACATGAAG